CAAGTTTCCTTCACTATCTTTCATTGGTTTCATCTGTGTTGTGTTGATCTCTTCCCTCCCAGACAGTAAGTAACCTGGTTATTTGATATAGTGTTGCCAGGTCTCTGTCTCTCCAACCAGCAGCCTATTCTGCTTCAGTTGCAAGTGTGTCGTAGAAGTGTCTTTTGTCTTTGTACTCACTCTTCCTTCCACGTTCAGTTTCCGTTCTGGGTGTTGAACTTGAACTATGGTCTATCATCAGCTTCTTCTTCGAAGGCTTTCAACTTGATTTTGAAGGTAGGTTCCTTGCACTAGATGGTGAGTGGTGCGAACCTACATCTGCTCTCCTTCTTGATCTGATGTTGTGTCCAGTAGGCTGCGTCTCCACTTTCTTCACATTGAGATGAAGTCGATCTTGTTTTTGGTGTGTCACATACAGGGACCTACTCTTCAATTAGTCATTTCACTCAAACGACACATTGGTACGTTGAACAAGTCCATTTTTCCGTTGATGACTCATGACTCAATTCCCTTACATACATATAGTAGATGAGTACAAAGAGGAAGAAAAATAAAGCATCTCTGCCAAAAATTGATTGGTCAACTGAAAAATAAAAATGCCTGTAAGCCCAGTTATAGTTATTTACCTTGAAAAAATGTTTTTTTCTTGCAAGTGTTTATGTTGTATTGAAGCGAAGACAGAAAAGTTCAGACGAACAGTAGACTATTATTGGAAATAATTTATAAATACTGGCCTATCACCCTGTGATTGTTATTGTTTGCTAAGTACAGCGGTCTAAAATCGGTATCTGACCTAGTCAAGCACTGTTCAAGCCACTTTACATTGTGTGTACCCAGTAATTCAATAAGCATAGAAGTGTTGTAGACATTTCATTTCCATAACTTCCTTTTCAAGTTCCACGGTGTTAGATAGTCAATCTTGGTAGATTTAAACATGAATGTACTTCAACATCAAAAGTAGTTTTTTTTAAAGTGAATTTTCCAAACCATTTCATCAAAGAATTCTCTTCCGGAAAGAGAAATCTCCATGACAATGATCAAAGTGGAATGTTTATCGTATTCAATCTAAAGTAAACTTGATAATACTTAATTGATCTAAAACTAGATGGTTAGAGTTAAATAAATCAAGGATTATAATCCAGAGCAAATCGTTACGAACTACAGTGAATTGTGAATGATCGCAGCATAACGTAGAAATAAATTTCATCCTATCCGACCGTGAATATCGCCATGATTAGAGAAAAGAGGAGATGAAGTGTAACGTTGTTAATAAATGTCAGTGTTCATAGGACTAAACAGTCTGAAAAACAAAATTGTTTTCAAAAATCAATGGGATTAGTGATAAAAGTGCTTAGAAGGA